GGGCTCTGGCAGCAGGCTTTTCTTTCTGTTGCCCTTCCCTCTTTTGCCAGAGGCACAGGTGGATTTCTAAATAATTTAACCCAACTCCACCAATCCGAGTATGTGGTTTTCATCACAATTATGATATAAAAACATCAGGCATTTACTGTCCCGTTTAGATCATGTTCCAATGTGGAATGGAACACATAAGCGACAGAACAATTGGAAGATAGACAAAACAATCTAACAATCCCATTGACACAGATTAAGGCATAGTTTTTTTCATACATAGCATCTTCTACCTCTGTGTTTTCCATTGTAGTATTTACAGTATATGTTTTTGCTACTCGCATTCAAAACTCTCTACATTGAATGTATCTTCTAGCAATTGCCTTGTCCAGATTTTTAATCGAAATCTTTTTTTAATTTCTATTTCTTGCTACTGTGTTAGCTAATCTTTCTATTTTGATATAGAAATATTGGATATATAATCTGGATATTTAATTAGTATTGTCCTTTGGTCTGTGATCACCATATACTGTAATTTTCTTTTGTTTTTCTTTGGTTTCTTTCAGGTTTAAACGTTTCATGATTTTTTTGATGATTCTTGTGCCAATACATCTACAGCCTGTCTCATTTCGGTGCGATCTGTCACATCTGTACAGATACTGTAGCTTTTGCCATGGAAATGTTTCCAGTGGTCCTGAAAGCTGAAGCCTTCATCTGAACACCCTGTCCTCATCCATGTGTTGGTTGGACATTTTAATTTGAAGTTGTTCATCTTTGCCTGGTGCATATAGGATCCCTGAGAAAATAGCTGATATAGTCCTGTTCTTCAAATTTTTGAAAAGTTGTTTGAATTTATTCTGCATGGAAAGTAAGATGGTTATTCCAATGTCATTTTTGACCACACTGATAACAACTGAGTATTCCGTGCCCTGGATAGAAATCCAGTACCCACAGGGACACAGCAAACTTCTGTCTTAAGGTCTCTGGTGGAAATTTCAATTGTGGTGTTCCAGAGAACAGAGTCTCCAACATTCTCCTTTATTTGATTTTTTTTCGGGTTCCTAGTCATCACTTGCCAGTGATGGAGTGGACCTGGCCTTGAGCTCCCATGTTTGATTGCAGTTTCTTGTAAGGGATTCGGTAAGAGAAACCGAAACCAGTGAATGAACCCACTTGCAGGAGCTGATAAAGCCTAGCCGTGATCCAAAGAAAGCAGTGGTCGAAGAAACGAGCCAAGAGTCCAGGAGAAGCTAGAGATCCAAACAGGGAACGAGTTACCAAAGCCAAACCGTGATCCTAAACCGTAGGCGATAGAGCAATCCGAGAGTCCAGGGGAAGCCAGAGATCCAAAATAGAGAGTGAGTACTGAAGCCAAGCCATGTTCCGAAAAACCGTAGTCAAAGGGGAAAAACTGTAATCTGAAGAACAAGAAAGACACAAAGCCGAAGAAGGAGTAGCGCACTAGGAAGCTCAAAAGGAAAACCAATACTGAGCGAGGAGGTAGGAAAAGACAGGTGTTTAAGTACAGGATGAGATGGGGGTGTGGTGGTGAATAAGGAAACTGATAGGTAGACTGATGAAGTAAGGCTATGCCTTCTTCTGCCTCTTCCGTTGCCGGGAGGCAGGGATCGTAACATTTCTGGAGTGGGGCACATATTTTTGGTGAGTTCAGTTCTGGTATTGAGTTGGTGAAATTATTTCCTTTCACTACCTGGGACCATATTCACTAAGTCCATTTCTCTATGATGTTTCTCTAACAATCGAAGGTGTACAACTCTGGATCTGGATTGTGTTGCAGTTACCACAGATGTAGTCTGGTTGTTGGAGTTCCTCCAGGGTGCTCCACAAGCCACACAAGATCCAGATTACTAGTTCAAACACCAGTTTTTGAAGTCTTAAATGTCCTGATGCATAGATCTGTGTTATGGAGATAAGCTGTGGTGTTTCTTTATGGTGGCATAAATGCTGTTTAATGTTCAGTCTGTCACTATTACTCCTTACTTCTTACTATGCATTAGAAAAGGAATGGAGTAAGAGTGACAGACTGAAAATTTAACAGCATGTATGCCACCTGGTGCTCCAGTTTCCTCCCATGGTCTACAAACATACTGGTTGGTTTCCAGGAAAAGTTGCCCTGGTGTGAGTGTGTGTGTGTTTGTGGCTGCGTCTGCCCCACGATGAACTGGCGTCTCATCCAGGGTGTATCCTGCCCATTGCTTGCTGACACAGGCTCCGGCTGCTCCGCAACCTTGCATTGGATGAAGTTTGTCATAAAATATGTGGATATTTAAACACTACAGATAATAAGCTTCCCACAGACCTTTGTATAGGCACTGATTTCTGCCTTGACAATAAAATAGTTAATTCAGTTTTAATCAAATTCTATATCCATACTCTAAACTTAAGACTTAACTGGATTTTATTAAAATAGAACCCATGCTATTTAAACAATATCAAGCAAATGATACGAGAATATTTGAAACTCACATGAATGAGGCAGTCTTTCAACATTACTGGTATAAATAGAAGTGAATCATGATAAGTATATAATATAATAATGAAAGTGTTTCCAAAACTGAGTTAGAGTGAGTTAGAAGTGGACACATGCTTTAACGTAGGTCCAAATACAACCACACTGGCTTCTCTACCTACATGCACTGAATGAATTTTAAATTAAATTATAAGACATTGCTTAGAATATTGCATATAGTTTTGGCAACCATATTATTAAAAATGGATCCTTACTACCTACTCAAGGCTATGTACTGTATATGGCTCGCAGGAATAGGGCTGCAGACCTCTGGACTAAACAAATGTCGTCTTGTACATTTGTTTGTCTTATTGTTTAAAGTACCATGTATCTTTTAGATACAGACACATTGTTTTTTTTTAAAGGCATGCTTGATATTGCTTGGTTATTTTTCTTTGTATATACTGCAAACTAAAGAAGGAAGTTAAGATGTTATACCCATCACTTACTCAGGTAAAATAACATTCTGAATGATGTTTAGAACCAGTTCCTCGTCAGACCTGTTAAGCAGGATAATGTAAACCACCTAATTGATATTCTGCATAACAAAATGATTTTGACTAAAAAGAAAGCTCTTTCTCAGTTTGCTGAATAAAACAGTCACCTTCATGCAAAGGGACTAAGATACCCATCAATATTCCTAGGTAAAATAATCTGTGACTTCCTTCATGGATTTTTGCCATAAATGTTTCTATAGAATAGCCATAAATACCCAAGAAATTAATTGATGTCCAATAAAATGATAAGTAGATTATAAAATGTTAAATAATAGGTCTAGAGTTTTATTCAGACACTCCTGAATCAAAGTGACCTTCAGCACCTTGGTTAATTAAAGAAAAGGCAGTTCAGTAATTAATTTATTATAAGATTCAAAGTCCTGTACTGGACTTTGAAAATTTTAAATGACATCATGTATTGATGCATATTAAATTTAAATATTAAAATTTAGTGTGTTTCAGCCAAAACAAGTTAACTAATGGCTTTTTTAACCACTGAAGAAGGCCCAAAACATCATCTTTCTTCTTTTCTGCATGTAATTAGCCCTTATGCATCCCTCTAAAGGACATTTTGACAGCTCAATGGTCATTTTTACAAATGTTTTGAGCCTCTGAGCTTCTGCAGTCAAAAGCCACCCTCACTCTTCCACTCGTTTGACCAGACTTCAACTACAAACAAGAACTTAAAGGCACACAACAGCATAGAAGGGTAATGCTGGTTTCCAGACAACAAAAAAATGTATCCAAGGTTGGTCCATGCTCTCTAAAACTATGCACAGTTCAAAGGCTTGTTTCTTTAAATCAAATAATGCATCCCAGACCTGTGAGCTGTGTCTGGCAAGTGATGAAAAAGAAAGAAATCTTCCCTCAGTTATAAAAATAAACACAGGTATGTTCCATGGTCAGCAATACCTACAGTATAATGATGACATGCTGGTTATTTGGGTTTGAAGGTACTGTAGGGATGGGAATGTGAAAGGATCAAGAAGAATCAAGGATCAAGAGAAAATAAACAGGTTTGCTTGACCTTTTAGACCAAACTATTCCAACAGGACCAGCCAAAAACTTATTGGGTCATGTCCAGCCTAAGTCTGCCAGGTAACAGGTCTCCTATTGGAGCATGGGATGCCATAAATTAACCTAGGCTGCACATCTTTTGAAGAGTACCTTGGAGAAGATGGAGATATACCCAGGGAGATGATACGACCTGCATACACTTTCACACTGCAAGTCCTGCCAGAACACAAGATTTACCACCAATGATATCTGCTCCTTTCCCTTTTTGAAGACTTCAGGGTCACTTTTACTGCACTCTGAAAAGTGTGCTTTATTGTTTGGAAGGACTGTAACCAAGGGGACAGAAGGGTCTGCTTCTGCGGTTAGACTCAGAACAGTGAATGCAAAAGTTCATTTTAGTATGGGGCTGACCTGGAAGGTGTAATATGAATGTGCAGTGTTGCAGCACTCCGTTTCAAATCGCTTCTAACTTAATATTTACCTGTGCACGTCTGAAACGGTACAATAAAATACGATACAGTGCGTACGAAAACATTTTTTTTCACATTACCCACTTAGACTTACATTGTTTCACCAAATTGTAAAATAAAAAAACATATTTTCATCAACAAAACTCACTATTGATTCGTATTAGCCATGTTACTGTAGAAGAAAAGAACAACGGAAAACTAAACGTAGCCTGTGTAAGCATCAACACGGACCTCAGCTGGATTCTTCCAGTTTGTTTGCTAAGATCCTCTTTTTCTTTTTACAATACGTCAAAATTTGCGGACAGTTTGTACAGGCTGACCGCACGTTCAACACACTTGTAGTCATATATCCGCGGCAGCATTTCGGCTCGTATGTAAATAGAGTGCAGCTGGCTAGCGCCGGCTCAGACCCTTTTGATTGGTTGCCAATGACATCACCCCTGTTCTCATACACGGAACCCGGAGCATTGTTCACTCAACTGTCCTCCACAAACTGTCTTTTTTTACACCCGTCTAACTCCACCCTTCCATTCTTGGGTTGGCTTTTCTTTTGCATTATTCTATATTTAATATTAATGAGGGTTCCTATTGGTTCTTACCCGTATCAATCGGAATAGAGCACTTTTGTAGGTTGGTTGACCCTCTTGTATATTACATTACGCGGAGCTAAGGCAGAAAGTAAAATGTTGCAGATGCACAGCAATGGGACAGGCTGCATGAGGAATGCGACGCATTAGTTATAAATACAGTATAAACCAGCTGCACATAGACGTCTGGAGTCTACACAGTTTGCCATAATGTAAGTGAAACTTTTCGTTTTTTGAATATAATTTGTAGTAGTTTTGAAAATGTAGTTGTTATATAGGAGTGTTTTTTTCTGCTCTGTAGAATTATCGTTACTGGCCAGTATTAAACACTTTTACTTCCTTACATAAGAGGTGTAAGTGTAAAACATACCTTCTCTTTACGCAGTTTTATAAGCTTCGGTAGATAGTCTTTTGCCTGTAGGTTTTCATTGTAGTTCCTCTTTAATTGATATGATGACAGCTTAACCAAGAACGGAATCGATTTTAACCGCTATGTATAATATATGGTTGTGTAAAATGCACTTCATGTCTGGGTAAAAAAGTTAGTATTCTCCATAACATTTCTAATTGATGAAAAGTAAACTTAGTTTATTGTGGTAGAGAATAGCTCAGGTATAGTATGCAAGTGTGCGTATTCTTTGCACGTCCACATGCATATTGCTAAATGTAATGCATGTTTTCAGTTTTCATGTAATTGTGTGTATTTCAAATTGCAGGATCTCTGTTATGTATCAGATGGACGTGATGCGATGAGAAATTATGCACGCCTAATAAAAAATGAAACGTTTAAATATACCTAAAATTTACATGTTGATGTTTTAATAGAAGCAGCGTGTTAAGGGACCGCAGTGTGTTGGCATCTTGTTTTGTTTCATCCAGGGTTATTTTAAAGGTGAAGGTAATTGAAGAACAAAGTGTGTTTTGTCAGGCTGTTGTTCGCTGATGTTCTGCTTATTAAGTTGAACTCTGATCTGACCTTAATACGCTTTCCCTTTAGTAAATCTGCTAACATTAATAAATTGCCAGTTTTATTGAGTCTGATACTGAAACGGAATGCCACTTCGTATATTTAGCTGCTGAGGGATGCTATGAATTTAGAATCAGTCTCAATGCCTGGGTGTCTCCTTTTTTGGCTCTATGAGCAGGGCAGAATAATAAACAAGATTCCTTTTATTTTTTAAATACATGCTGTACTGTGCAGCCTTACAAAAACAAATGAACTTGAACAGTATGTATACTAAACATGTATTAGAAACGTATTTGACATAATATATAATACATATAATTAGAACAAGTGTAGTCATTTTGACAGTTCTTAGTACCATAATGTGGAAATTCTGTTCCAGTAAAGAGAAAACAATGATGAATTGAAAAAAGGTGTGTTCTTGTGACACTAATAAATCCATATAACACAAATTGCATGTCCCATGTTTTAAAATTGGATTTTTAATCCCAAATTATGTCTGCCCAGTGTTGCAGGAAGAAATAAACACATAATTGCCACTGGCTTCTGTTATTGCTCCTAGATTGGATTCTTGAGTTCTTCATAGATTGCCAGCTTTCAGCCTCCCCATGCCTCCATCTCCTCTAGACGACAGAATTGTGGTGGCACTGCCAAGGCCAATCAGACCTCAGGAACTCAAACTTTGCCTGGACACTAGCTACCTGGATTCTGTCACCACCACTACCACCAGTAAAACAGTCATCAGCACAACTGTGGTGAAGATAAGGGCGACCAATCTTACTTATATGCCCTCATCCAACGGCTCTACGCGTTCGTTGTCGTGTGGATGCAGCAGCGCCAGCTGTTGCACGGTGACCACTTACGAGAAAGACAGCCAGACCCAGAGCCAAGTCAGTGTCAGTAGCCCCAACCTGAGCTCAGGAGTCTGTTTCTCTGGGCCCACCAACCAAATGGTCAACAACAATGAGGCACTAAGTGCACCAACTGGCATTGGAAGCCCAACATCTGGCTTGGGTAAACCCCTGTCCCCTGTCCGGGTCATCTACCCCAATGAGCTGGCTAAGAGGATGACCAGATGCCCCAAAGGCCACCAGGGAAGCCCAGGTACAGTCATCATCGACTGCCGGCCGTTCATGGAGTACAATAAGAGTCACATTCAAGGGGCAGTGCATATCAACTGCTCGGACAAAATCAGCCGACGGAGGCTTCAGCAAGGAAAGATCACTGTGTTGGACCTGATCTCTTGTAGAGAAGGCAAGGACTCCTTCAAAAGGATTTTTTCTAAGGAGATTGTGGTTTACGATGAGAATACCAATGAACCAAGCAGGGTGATGCCATCCCAGCCTTTACATGTAGTCCTGGAATCATTGAAGAGAGAAGGAAAAGACCCCCTGGTTTTGAAAGGTATGCACTTTTTTAGGGTGGTTAAAAGCAGTTTAAACTTGTACAGTCATGGCACATTTATGACCAAAAAGCTTATTTACTGGAGGTATACAAGTTGATTTGTGTGAAGTCAGTGTAAAGGAAAGGGTAGACCTCTATGTTTTATTTGCAGTTTTGATAAAGAGAGAAACTACATTTCAGAAACTGTAGTTACAGCATTTTGTAGGAGCAGCATACGGTATAACAGGCATTGGGAGTGGGGTGGGTGTTACAAGCACTTCTTAAGTGGAGATGTAGTGATTTTTCAATAAAAGGTAAGTTATATTCCAACCATAAAATGGCAAATTTTTATAGATTCTTCTGCCATTTGAAATATGCAATTATGTTGGACTTCAAAATGTTTAAGTACCTTCTTTACACATCTAAAATATTGTGCAGTAGTTCAGAGCAAGGGGGTGTTTAGTATTTTAGTATTTTTAAAACATTTCAGTTTATACAGGGGTTGCAGCATTGAAGTTTTAAAACTGTGAAACTGTCTGTTTTGAATGCAAATACAAATTGAATGCAGTTTATGATTTGAATTAAGTTTGAAAATCCATATTTCAGAACCATGTGATTGTGCAGTGTTTTCGGTAGGATGATAAATCAAAGATAAACTTTTCAAAACATTGACCACATACAGGGGTCAGCTGGAGATACAGTATGACATTTCAATGCTTCGGTGTGCTGGGGAAATTTAGTTGCCAAGAAAACAGCCTTTTGAACTGGCAAGGGGAATCCAGTTACAGTATATATTATCCAGTATAAATGGATTTATGATTGTACATGTTGAAAGGCTTCCTTTCCATTTGCAATTTCAATGTTTTAACATCAAATTTATAATTGCTGCATGTAAGATTGCTCTATACTTTATAACTACTTCATAAAATGGTGTGGTAATTGCACATGCTGTAGAATGGATATCATTTAAATGAAAAGCCACTTAATGTGTGAATTCAGTTTTTAAGTTTTGATAACATGTTGAAGTGAAGGTTAATATCTCTCTTTTTTCTGTTAGAAAAAAATCTAATTTGGTTGCTTTAGAATGGAAGTGTACTTGTAGCATAAAGTCTTTAAGAGGACCAGGAAGGAAAGTGCTTACATGCTTATATTTAGCTTGCTCTGGCTGTTTGGCAATACAGACTGGTGTAATTTACTGCTCTGTCCATTGCCTGGTTTGTGTTTGTAAACAGTGAGTTCTATCTTTGAAGCCTTCCTTGCTGCATCTGGTTAAGTGCCATTTTCTCCATCTTTGGTACTGAACTGCAAGCACACTGCTGCTGTTTCTGTGGTGCAGTATCACGTTGGGAGAATATGATCAGAGCATTTTAGGCCTTGGCACTGGTCTTAAATTACTGCCTTAATTTCCAGTTCCTTTAATGGAAGGGCAATCTGAGATTGATACTGTCTGAATTCAAAGGTGAGAAGAGGCAAATGGCACGTCTGATTAATCTTTTCACCAGAAATTTAGTGGAAATCTCATCCAAAGCAACATTAACATAAAAAAATGATGGCTTACATGTGTGAGGCTATCAGTTTTTTTTATCTCATATAAGGAATATCCTCATATAAAGATGTGAAAATCTGTTGGGATCACTGGCAGAGATGTATTTGTGTAATTTATTTGACAAAGATGTGGTTTTAATTGATGGAACTTTTTATAGAGTTACAAGTAAAAATAAATAGTTGTTAAAGTTTCAAAATACAAATAAATTAACCTGCTCTTCTGCAAAATGTCTGGGACATTGTGCACATTTCACTGATATTTGCTGAAATAAACCATTGCATCATTTATGACTAGAGTAGAGTGAACTGCAGCTTGAATAATGAAACCAGGAAAACAGTGTTGAATATGTAAGACTAAAAACCAAACCTGTACCAGAGACAGCCTGCAATATTTATCAATATTATATAAATTGTAATTTATATACTGTATACTAACATGTATAACAACAGAATTTTAATAATATCTAAGATTATGCATTTTTTAAATGCTAGCAAATTGATCCATGTAAGCAGGCTGCTTTATAACTCTTCATAGCCTTGTTGGCCCTATATCCAATGTATTATTATTAGACATGATTTAAGTAAGGCATTTAAATGATGACGGAATTTCAGAGTTCTTGGTGTAACAACACATACTGTATTAGTGACAGTGTTCCTTTGAATCCTGCTTGGCTGCTTAATTTCAAGAACTAATTTTTACAAATTAGTAGCAGAAATTTTTAACTTTTTTAAGTCACTCAGAGAAAAAAAATCATGCTATCCTTGCGGTAGTCACAAAATTAAACAAAACAAACGGTGTTGCCCTTAAAACCATTAAAACTAAAGTTAATTACCCTGACATTTCCTAAAAGGCCTTTCATTCGGAAGTTAGTCAAATTAGTGTACATTTTTCAGAAACTGAACAACACTGTACTTGTGTGAAACTTCTACTCTAGAGAAATGATAATATGATGTAATCCTGAGTATAATTTGCAACTGATTTGCTTTAAGTAATAAATCCATAAAGGGGTAAAATGAATAGTGAGAAAATGTGAATGTTTTAAAGGTGTTATTTACTGGAAGTTCAGGAGGAGCTCAAGCTGTAATGTCGTTCTTTCACCCCCAGAAGTATAAATGCTCCCTGCACACATCTTTTCTAGCTCTTCTCCCTCCACACCAACTTCACTGCTGCAGCATCCTCCCTGGCTCATTCCTCAGCAGTGAGGGGGATGGTGACAGCCCTGGTCTTCAGCCAGCACTGTCATTTCCTTAGCCAGGTCAAGTATCTCTACAGTATGAACAACACAATACTTTTATATTTGTCAGCTCTTTGAGTCGTTACTAGAATTTGACCCAACTATTGAAAACGTACTTTCGGAATTTTTGCTGGGCTGTATTGAACAGTTGAAAATGGGATTATAATCTGGAAAAAAAGACTGTGAAATTCTCCTTGTTAGCCAAACTGAAAGTAACCTGAGTTTAGATCAGTTAATTTTTGAATGAATGCCTTGTCAGAGTGGTAAACTGTATACAGTGATTTAGACATAGGAATGTGGGCAAATTCCTAAGAACCTGTTTGTGTCAATGGTTGTTGCAGATGTGGGTGCATTTTACTATTGATGATCTTTAGTCAGCTGTGGAGATAAATTTCAAACATTTACTATATATGCATGTGGTTGTATGTTTTCTAGAAGAGATTGAAAGTTTTAATCTTTCTGCCTTTGTTGAGTGGCACATCTGCCCTGTGACATCAGCTTGAACTGGGGTGTGTGACAATGAAGTGTTGTTCTGGTGAAAGGTATCGTCTGACGCCAGGCGGTATTCATCTTTGTGGACTCTCCATTCACAAGACCTCCTGCAGCTGCCAGAATGGGACAAACCACCTTTCTCTTGGACACAGTTTCCTTGTGCTCACTTGACCGGCATTTTGATAGGTGTTGAATTGTACTATTCAGTGTTTCAGAGCACTTTTGCCTTTTTCTTCCACATTATCTCTGTAAACATACTCGTGTTCATACAAAATTTGCTGTTCTGCCTACACATATTGTATATGAACAGTAGGAGTTAGAAAGGTGCCTGGAAGTCTTTGATAAAGCATATCTCTGACAGTATTTTCATCTGTGGCTTGGAGCTTGTAGAGTCTTGCATTTAGTATTTGGTGTCTTTGTCAAAGCCTTATAGGTCATTCGTTGTGGCAGGGTGATGTATAGATAGCACTGTAAATATTGCTTCCATCAGCTGTACTCTAACCTACTATACAATCACCACAAGGAGAGGGGAAATATATATATATAAGAGGTTGCAAAGTATCTAACTGGGAAAATAATAATAGATTGAAGTGTGGGTTGCAATGTTGAAAAATAGTTTATGTATACCAAACAAAATAAAATGTTTTTAGACTACATAGTAGTGGAAGAGGTTCATGAAATTTTCTTAATTGTGACTTTGTGTTGTTCCCTGTTAATAATTGTCTGCTTTTTCTAGATTGAAGAGTGTTTGGGCATCACTTTTTAAAGTAGCTCAATTTATTTCTTCAGGGTTTGTTTCTGTTGTTGTGTTTTGTGTACAGTTTATGTATGTCTTTAGCATTTTTGATTGAAATACCATCTAACCTGCAGAAATGAGAACAGATACCAGAGTATAGAATCTATATTATTTTATGCTGGGCATATTGTTACATTTACAGTGTATACCTTTTATTTCTTGGGTCATGTCTGGGTTTTTTAACCCTTGCTTATCCATGTTGGAAGCTATATCTATGGCATTTATTAATACCCATTTTGCAGTAATGCATGAGAGCGTGTTCGAGAACTTGGTAAAATTAGTTTTGCTGTTCAATCTCAGTGTTCAGGATTTTATTCCAATTTACATTTTTAATCTACATTAATTCCTATTTTTACCTCATTCATCTGATTTTTTAAAACCTTATTTGGCATAACTAGTTCAGGGTAATTTGTGAAATGTGGTTCTGAATGTCTCATTGATATATCCAAGCTAATTACGCATAAATGATCAAATTCAGTGGTTCTGGAGTGTGACAAGCCCTAGAATGTGGTTAAATGTTATCCTGCATTGCACAGTCTACACCACTTTACTTTCCTTGGTCTTTCAGTTACTTTGTTTATGTTATCCCACAGAAGCCTACATAGTTTAAAGTTGTGAGACTGCAAAACATTTTGCTCTAACAAAAAAGCAGGGAGGTGATTTACTTTCAGTCTTTCATCTTTGTGGATAGAAAACATAGGATTAGATCTGTTTGGTGATACTGATTTTTTGTTCTTTTCACTGTACATCTTTGTTCATTTTTCCACAAATTGCAAGTCGCCATGCATGGCTGTTTTCAGTTGAAGTGATCAGTCATGTTTGGGTGTAAACAGCAATTCAGAAGGAAAGGGAAAATATCAATGAGAATGGTGGAAGACCATGGGACAGTCACCTCTATTTCTTACAAAAAAAAAATGGTTTTATTTGTAGTACTTTGCAATGTCTATGTTGGACATTTTTCTTCATCGAATGATCCCTTATTATACTGTAGATAGTTGCAGTGACCTTAGATTAGGAGAGAGGAAAAGTACCCACTAAAATTGGACTATTGTTGCTTTTGGCTAAAATATCCAGAATGACAGAAGCAAACACTTAACACATTCAATAGTGTGATAATCTACAGACTGTCACAGGAAGTGGATGATTAAAAGTGAAAGTAACACTGAAAACTTGCCAAGTAGAACAGGGTACTTTCCTAAGTAAACTCATTTGTAATTAACAAAGGGAAAAGCCTAACAGGTGCTTTTTCTGTGACAGCTTTGGAGTATTTTGGGAAATGGCACCTATTCTAAGTAATTATTGTTTGTCATTTGATGCATTTACACAGCATATGTGGAAATATACAAAGATAAAAGTACAATGGAGTTCTGAGGTGATATCAGAAAGTGAACTGATTTAAAAAAAAATGTATTCCCAAGTCTCTCACCAAAAACAAGCGCTAAAATCATCACTTTTAATAATCACCTGTTTATATTAACCAATGTGTTTTGATAATTCATACAAATAAAATCATTTTGAAATAAGATTAAAAATCTGCTAGAAAGTTATATTTAAGATAGAAATGTAATTTTATTTATAAACAGAGCCATTATATTAGATTAATACTTTCTAGCCCTTCAGAGGAGTGAAGTTTGCTAGGTTGTACTGTAATACACAATGGCAATGGGCACAAGGTGGGGTTCAACCTGGAATGGACACCAGTCAATCACAGTGTAGATGGACTCAAATACAAACACTCTCACACTCACATCAGAGCCAGTTTTCCTATCAGTTAGTCTACCATTATGTTTTTGGACTGGTAGGTTTAAACTGTAATCACTGTCACCTTTTTCATATTGTGTAGCTATACTGTGCATACTGTACAGTACATCATTGAGTTAACATGGAAAGCTGTGCACCTGAAAGAAAAGCACCATCACACCATCATAAGGCATGGGGAGAACATACAAATACCATGCAAATAGTACCTCAGGTCAGTAATTGAACCCAGGGCCACAGCCCTGCGAGGAAGCTACGCCAACCACTGTGTTATTTTGCTGCCTGTAATACAACACATTCATACTGTTTGAGTAAAATAATTCTTCTTGGGGTATTCTTAGTTAAGCCTGAAATTTGAAAGATGTGCTGTATTCTTTTAGATATTTAGAATAATTATTTTACAAATAATTTTTATTTGTATTTATGTGTACATTGTACAGAATGTTAAAAAGTCTTATTTGTAAAAAGTGGACCGTATTAATGAGTTGGTATTTCCCATATTGACCAAATTTTGTTTGCTGTGTGTTTACTTCTGCTTTTCTTTTTAATTCAAACACAGATCCATTGAGGAAAAGGAACAGGAATAAAAATAGCTACTGACAAAGTAGCTCATTTGTTTATGTGCTGAAAGGTGTTTTTCAAAATGGTTTATGGCTTGTTCAAAGTACACTACACCTGCCTTAGCAGATATGAGCTCCCCACCTGCCTTGTTGCCACGACAATTTGTTGGGGGCACACAATGACATCACTTAGCATGACATCAGCTCTGTAATCTAGACAATGCATGAACAGCTACTTTGTTTTATGGTGCTCCAGTACAACTGTGCACTCATGGGGAGGGGGTGGGGGAGAAGGCTGGTGATGTAATGCTGACAGGTGCTTAATAGCCCTTATTTGACTAACTGAAAAAAAGTGACAATATCTACTTTGCAAGCTGTATGCAAATATTATGTATATTACGAGGAAGAGCTAGATAAAACTACTTTGAAACTTACAGAGAAATGTTTGCATTGGAAGTAGTTAATGCTGTTGGAGTTCTCATAGAGAGCTATGTAATAAAGGCATAGTGTAAACTACAGGTAGATTGGTATCAAGTGAAAGTAAAAAGATAAAACATCACATTAATAGTTCAGTGTTTAAATAATACAGTGGAGGTTTAGTATTACGGATAGTAAATAAAGATGGAATATTAACTAAATCGGTCTGCCATCAACTCCAAATACATCTCCTTAAAATGGAAGAAAAAAGCTTCTAGTTTTGGATACAGTCTTCACACATTATTCAAGCATAGTATGTGCTTGAATTACATTTCTTTTAACTAAATGTGCCCAATGTACAGCCATGAATTGGTGTTTGAGTGCTACTGCTGACTAATCAGAAGTAAGTAAGTAAGAAGTAAGTGTAGTATGAAAAGAAACAAACTAACATACACTACCCGAGATCTAGCCAGAAGTGCTTTTAGCATCTATGCCATCCATCTGTTACTGTATGTCTTATACTGTTCCTTAGCTCGAACACTGGGAAATATGACAACTGGGTAAGAAACACCTGTAGTGAGGTTTGCACAGGGAAATTGTACAGTTAATATTTTTTTGTACGTCTTCATAGTTTGGCTTCTACATGTCTCAAAAAAGCATCTCTTTTGTTTAACTCATTACTAGCACAACATTTCCAAAATAGTCTTCTTAAACCCTAGTTTCAGTTCGTGTCCCCCCCCAGTCCCCCTATGTTGTTCCATTTCACAGCTCAGATGAAGCTACATTTAGAATCTGAGTATATCAAAAATTGATTTGTCTGTTATTTCATTCATTTTCATCTGTACAGTTTTCCTGCTAGGAATTTTTCTTCCTATTTGGCAGCTAACCCTCAAAGGAGCAGAAAAGTGATGGCTGTTTTGTCCTGCAGGTGGGCTCAGCAGTTTCAGGCAGAACCATGAGAACCTGTGTGACAACTCCCTGCAGCTGCATGAGCGCCTGGACGCCGGTGGGGCCTCGGCTGTGTCGGGAGGAATACCCCACTCGCTGCCTTCCACCCCCGACATCGAGAATGCGGAGCTCACCCCCATCCTTCCCTTCCTCTACCTGGGGAATGAGCATGATGCTCAGGACCTGGAGAAGATGCAGAGGCTGAACATCGGCTACATCATCAACGTCACCACTCACCTGCCTCTCTACCACTATGAGAAAGGTCTCTTCAACTACAAGCGGCTGCCCGCCACTGATAGCAACAAGCAGAACCTCAGGCAGTACTTTGAAGAGGCGTTTGAATTCATCGGTGCGTAAGGATCTTTTTCATCCTGATAATAATGTATCTTGGGTGGAACTGGCCAAAATACTCATTCATTTGTCCATTTTACAGTTCTATGTTTTTTTTTACATTAACAGGAGTAGGTATAAGAGGTGTGAGATAACACATTGCCTTATTCTCTCATAAAAGACTTTAATTTTCTCTATTTTGGATTTTTATATAGTCATATTCATGAATTGAAACTACTCTGTACACACTGCAGTCAAATTGCCTTAATGTATATTCCCATAGTCTTTATATACAGTATACTGTATAAATTTGATTGACCCAAATTATGCATTCATATACTTCTTGGTGTTTTAAAAGTAATAATCAAGGCTTTTTATGCTGTTTTGTTGGCTTGCTGCTTCTCCTGTTCTGTCAAGGTTTTAGTCCTGCAGCTGTAGAGCTCTAGGGTGGGGTGTGTCTTGTATGAAGTCTAATATTCTACACCTCACATCCTACAAGTGCTTCCTGTTGAGATAGAATATTAGTGGGTTACTCCTTAAAATAACCATTTCCCATTTCAGAGGAGCAGAAACATATTTTATGTCTGAATGCTTTTAGAAAATTAGTGTCAGATAATCTTTTACAGCATTAACTGCAGACAATGATGGTTGCTCTGTATTAATGACAAATGTCAGTTGCATTTCCCTTATTGTTTGAAAAGATGATGAGATTAATAATATACACTGTGGTTTTGTTTTACCCTTCTTGACATATAGAGTGAAGTACTGCAGGGGTTGAGTGAGAATAAGATCTGCAGATTTAATTTTGAAAGACTAGGCTATGTTAAAAATATCACAATATGACAGTCATTATTTAGTTGTTATTCAAAATATACTAAATTATGAGTCTGCATGACAGTATTTTCCATTTATCTTAACTTGAGATCCTCCCTGGAAAATAAAAATTGTTGCTTGAGCTGAGTGAAATATTAATTTAATGGAGGAAAATATTTGATTTTCTTTTGTACTGTGAATATACAGAAGACTCAAAGTGTCTAGTGTATCTAAGTCTGTATCAGAGTCTGTTGGTATTTTGATCTGTCACAATAAATACAATATAGGTGAAAGCTACTAATTATGCAAATTGTTACAGAAAACCATGACAAAGAAAATAATTATATTTCTTTCCCTTTTTCTCTTAAAGATTTGGGATTTAAAGAATCTTTTAAATTATATGACAGTTACATAATGTATTTTAGATATAAAATACCTGTGATTAAGCCCCTCAATTTCATATTTCAAATGGTAAATAATAAATATAAACAGTATGGTATAATGTACAATGTAGTGTTAGTAGACCTTTATTGTAAATATTTTGAGCCATAATATACACGTTCCTTTTCCCAAACCATTAGATTGATATTATTGTGATGCAGTAAACATTTTGTTTAAAAATGCAGTGTACTGATAGTGAATTTACTATGCCTTCTATATACAGTTAAGAATCACAAAAAATGTTTTTTTTTTTATCTGCTTATCTTGGACAATTACCGCAACAAGTTGATAGAGTATGTTTTTTTTTAATTTATTGGTTTTAATAAACCATTTCTTAAGTTTTGTTTTTCTCTTAATGGAATTTAATAGTCCATCTTCTCCTTTTTCTTATTTTCCAGAGGAAGCACACCAGAGCAGAAAGGGGCTCCTCATTCACTGCCAAGCTGGTGTTTCCCGATCAGCCACCATTGTAATAGCGTACTTGATGAAGCACACACGGATGACTATGACGGATGCATACAAGTTTGTTAAGACAAGGAGACCAATTATATCTCCAAATCTCAACTTCATGGGACAGCTGTTGGAGTTTGAAGAAGATCTCAACAATGGTGTTACTCCCAGAATCCTTACGCCAAAGCTGATAGGAGTAGAGACAATTGTCTAAATGAGGGGGTGGTCATTTCCAGTTGGCATACTCTGTGGCAGGAATATGCTGCAGGATCTCTTGTCAGCACTTTCAGGGCACTTTGAACTTTGGTGCTTCAGAGAGAGGTTTCACAAACTTCAAGGACAGAGATTGGATAAATGGCAGTGGCTCTTTCGATTAAAGGGAAATGGGTTTGTAGTTGGTAGGAAATGTATCCTACTATTGTTTTGAACTGTCCAATAACTGGGAATACAAATGACACTGTAGAGAACTAGTTGTCCTGAGTGTGGCTGTCTGTGCAGGTTCATAGACAGAAGAATATGCAAACCTAGATACTCACGTTTCTTCATTTCAGCAGTGAGGCTGCCCTGTGTTTCCTTACTGCATCCTATGGCCACAAATTTGTGTGGGCACAACAAAGAAGGCAAACCTATGTGATTGAACACGCAGTGTATGAGAGACTTCTTTATTTGCTGTGTTTATGCTATTGTCCTATTTTCTATGGGGTTCAGACACTTTGGGGAACAGACCATTACTTGCCCTCTGTGGCTTACTGTGCAATAATTGTAGAGTGGAGCTGAAGTTAAATTGTAAATAGAGTGGTAACCCTTCCAGCTCAGTGGTAATTTAAAACAAGTAACGAAAAATCATTTTTTGTTGGTTTTGTTTTAATTCTGAATACAGTGCCACAAAACTGGTGCAAATGTATATCAGAATGTAAGAAAAAATGCCACAGCGTATTAGTGTGTTACTGTTGTCTGTGTATAATTTCCTTTTGTTTATTCTATAAAAAAACATGAAACCATTCAAATTTGTCTGTGTATTTCAGTAATTTCACAAATTAAGTCTTCTTCATATACATGATCATTGAAACCTGTGCTCAATGTTTGATTCCTTTTCATGCATTTGTTAGTGCAGTGTGTGCTAGCAGTATTGTCAGATTGTGTCTGAATTATAGAAGTGTGTCCATTAAAGTTCATGCATGTCTCTTCAAAATATCTTTAAAAAAGTTGGATTATAGCTGGATTACCAGAACAATCACCAAATGTTGAAATCAAACCCTTAACTTGTAAAGAAAGATACACTAGAAGTAAAGGCTGTAGTTTCTAGTTCATCTGTCCCTAGTGGATTTTATGTTATGCTTTCTAGTTCTTATTTTGTCCTTTATTTTTATTTTTCTAGTACTTCAAATCTCTTTTCCAGAGCTGTTCCTTTGATTGTATTAGATCTGCAATAATTAATTTGAGATACTTCAACTGTTAGGAGGCTATGAGTGCACCCCTGCATGTGTGATTGTCTTATTTTTGGACAAGTGTGGTAATTTATGACACCTGTATTCTATTTTTAATATGTAAAGATAAAGCAGCAAAACAGGCCTTTAGGAAATCTTACTTTGTGGTTGACAGCTTGTTGCAGCACACAGAAATATTACTTTTCTGAGAATAATATTCCCTAGGTATAATGCAGTTTTATTATATTAATTCATTTATAGGGTATGCAGCCTTTTTTCGGTTGCAATGGTAAATTGTTCTATTTGTGCAACAGTGGTGTACAGAATGTCTAGAGACTATTATAGCTTACTGAGGAACACATTCTATTGCTTTGACCCCACTTCTTGGGTGCATTAAGACCCCTTGAAACACCTGATGGTGCCAAATCTACTTGAAAATCCTTTGTAGCTGAAATGTGTTAGGGATATCTCTACTCTAGTAATTTCCAGAGAAATAACATGAAGGTTATTTTAAATCCATAAAATGCAAGACAGTTTTAATTCTACATGTTGAAAATTGGAATAAAGTTGTAATAGTCGCACTTCAGAACATTTTAACTTGGAAAATCATCACTACGCACAGAGTGATGTAAATAACTGATGACAGTTTCATTCTGTGGATAATTCCACTGACAAGCAACTGTGATACAGTAGATGTGAAATTCGAAGTGAGCTTTTCTACTTAAATTAAGATGGAAAATAATGTTATAAAGGATAATCTTTGCTTCAAACCATTTACAATTACATAAACTAATGGCCTCAATTTCAAAGGAATTATTAATATCACAGAATCAGCATCCTGATATTTAGAAGTTATTCTTTTAATGATATTGACTAAACATGGGTTGCTATTTGTCCATATAATGCATATGAATTGCAGCTGAATAGCTCATTATTTTAAAGAGCTTTAAATTGAAGTCATAAAAGGAAAAAAAGGTATAACCTAAGCCAACTAGTTAGTTTATATATTCTATCCTGTAAAAATTAAGGTCACTTAAAATGTAAAGATAATTTATTTGGAAATTAAATATATGCTATGGATAGACTGAGAATTCTGTACATTTACTGTTGCATGTTTCTTGAAGACTATTTAAATGTTTAAAATTAAAGGGTCGCCAGAGTATAAGGAAACAGTCATACTTTGATGAATAATTTAGTTTTTAAATGAGAATCAGTGGAAAAGCAAATGGACTTGTAGAGAAACTGCCCCCCAGCACACACATGACTCTAGGAAAAGAAGAGGACTACTGTACATTCTTGCTCAGAAAAATAATGGGATCGTACTGTACATTCTGTCTCAGAAAAAGAATGGGATCGTAGTCACCTGAGCTAGGATATACTGTACTGCTGTTTAATACAGTGGATGCTCTCAGTCAAATGTAAGAACTTCTTGCACGAGGCTTCATCATTGTTTTCTCAGGGTGTTGTTCATGAGGATGTGTTGATGTGATTCAACATGTCTTTCAAAAGCACACCAGCAGTGCGTAGTATGGTTAACACCAAGGCAGCTTTGCAGATCCATCCATCCTGGTGTTTTCCTGTTCTCTCAGAAGCCTGCCTGGTGTTTAGGGAGCTAGGAAGGAAGAATTAGGAAATTAAGAATGTTATAAAACAGGACTTGGCGGTTGTGACCGTCAAAGGATGGGTAGAATGAAATCCTTTGGTGTATGTGAAAACAGTTACTTGCTCTCTGCGAACGACATGGAGATAAGCGTAATTATCCCTTCACATACTGTAGCTGAACTGCCATGACTGCTGCATTCCCTTTTCGAGAACAGAATTGGGAAATGAACAGGTGCTTTCCATACATAATCCACATCATGTATCACTTGGCCAACTGAAATGTGATTTATTACTGAAGAGAACAAAGCTCTTCCCCTGCTCTGAGGACCCTGTTTGATAGACCCTTGTTTTGTTGGCTGGCTACAAGGAGACAGACTGGTTGTTGAGTGTGGATTCTGTGTTCATGTACTGATCACTAATTGTATACACTGACAAAGAACTTCAGTGGAAGTTATGAGGTTCTGACAGAGCTCTGCACCAGCCACCTGTTGGGTTTTCATGCTATAAGGATTATACCTCTCATTCATTATAGTGGCTGGCTGTAGATTACTTAGTTTCCAGCCTCTTGGGAATGATCCTAATGTCTTTAGATCACACTTAGTTGACTCTAAATTTACACTAACCAAACTTATCATTTGACAGATGGGCATGTATGAATTCTTTGATAATAATTAATAATTTTTGAAAGAGACATTTTCTCACCATGACAGAGCTTTACAGCATGAAAACAACCCACAGATAAAGTGCATTAGGTGTAGATGAGATTCTTTATTGTTCTTATGGTGTGAATCCCATCCTCAGCTCACAGAGACTACTTTACCATGTTGACCCTTTAATTTTCGTGTGGGTGGTGTGTATGATATGCTTATTTGTTATTAAGATGATTTTTTAAAGAAATTGTTTAACTTTCTATGCATACTACATCTATATTTTTGCTCTGGCATACAAACATCAGGATTTATTTTCACTAAGGTGCTATTATATTGGAGGCCTTTCACACCTTTTGCATGAAGTAAGTACTCTATATTTTTTCAAGAGATGTATTTATTCCAAAAACTCTGTTAAGGGATAAGTACACTTACAGTAATTTTGTAGTTCTTGACCTTAAACATACTTTGTCAAACTTGAAATAAACAGATGGAAAAAGGCACAATATTAAACTATGGTATTATCTTGTTCAATGTGTGTTCAGTTCTTCTTGGGTGTGTTTTTCATTGAGTGTAATAAAAGTAGTATTTTCCTTTTAAAAGTATTATGTGCAAAAGGTAGAATTTGAGTTATGTTCAGTTAGAGCCAATATCACCGAACATCTCTCAGTCTAAAGCACAAGATTAAGAATCTACACAATGGAAGACTATGTAATAGGAATATCTAAGATGAAAGAAGAGCTGAAAGTTATTTTAAAGTTAACTTCCTGGACCAAAAATACCACTCAGTGACAGTTTGGAAATCCCCTTTTTTCTCTTGCTGTAAAACTGTAAAGTGAAGCATGAAATGGTGACATCTGCAGTAGGGGAAACTGAAGAGTAAGGAATAATGTACAGGGCTAATAATAAGGTTGAAGGGGCAGTATTTTTAAGTTCACAAAACACGAAAAAATGGTGAATTGCACTTGTATGAGCTCTGATTTCCCTTTGTCTCAATGTAAGGCCTCTTTTCTAGTTAAAAATATCAACCAGTCAGTTGTTAAATGCAAATTATACCCTGTTATGAGGAGGAGAATCAAGCTGACTGGAAATTTAACTAAAATATTAGATAAATCTCTTGTCTGTGTTCAATGAATCTCAAGTTTTTGTTATATATGTTTAATAGATACGATTTTTTTTAAATCTGAAAATGAAATCTAAAAGATATTTGAACATAACTGTTGTAAATGAGAGGAGGCTATTTGGTCCATCTGGCCCATTTGGTAGCTTATTGATCTTAGGATCACATCCAGCCAGTTCTTGAAGGAAGCCAAAGCATCAGCTTCAACCACATGGCCGGGTAGCTTGTTACATTCTCCCACAAGTAAGAAATGTGCTTTTTCCTAAATGAAAAAACAAGTGGAGTACAGTTTGTGTTAGTTGTAATACACAATGTGTTGTACCATTGTAATAGGCATCTTTAAGATTGAAGTAGTTCAGGTGGGTAGCTGCATCAGCTTGCGTGGGCTGCAAAGGAACAAGTAATAGGTTTATTCCATGCTGAAAAGAGAACAAAGTCAACACAATGTTTCGGCTGTAGAGCCTTCTTCTTCTGAAGATGGCTCCACAGCCGAAACGTTGTGTTTTCTTTCTTCTCTTTTCATCTTTAACATTGGTAGGCCTGGGAAAACAGACACAAATGCAACCATAAATTATAAAAACAGTATTCTATTTTTACAGTGTAAGAAAAACAAAACAAAATCTTTGCTGTTTTCTGAGTTGGTAACTAACTTCTTTAAAGCCAATACTGTACTACTATAATATAGCTAAGCTGCAAACACTGAGACACTTCACAAAATGTTGTCAAATGAAACTCTCCGAGACTCATCACATAAAAAGCACATCGCAAAAATTCTGAAACCTTACAGTTCCATACTCATTCCACAAAAGCAGATACACAAAGAGGATCTGATTTTTGTCTTCCATACAGCAGATCAACTGATAGTTGGGTGTCTTTGCTTCATGCTTCTTTAAACTGCCACCTGTCCAATTGTCTGCAACTCGTGAGGTGACTAAGAGCAGCAACTCATTCCCCACAACTTTATGGGGAATGTGGTTAAGACAAGGGCTGCAATTCTGTCTGCACCTGCTGCCCTCTTTTTTAAGCCTAGTCTGTAATCATTCTAGGTTTTTACCATTAAAAAAAACCTAAAATTCCAAGTAAAAGTTTGCAATAAATGACTAATAAAAACACATACTTATATAGACATTTCAATACTCCAATTAGTGTCATTTATGTTGTCATTAACTGTGGTGTTCAAATGTAATTGAAAGTGATTGTAGAGGCAGGAAGTATAGAGCATAGGTCACAAAAGAACATACTGTACATGTCACTTACTCATTTATTCATTAAAAAAGCACACTGTATCCCTCATGGTTAAAGTTGATTGGTTTCTATGAAGCCAAAGGTGACTGTTATGACCAATGATCACACTGTCAGGTTGTACAGGTGTTGTCTCAGAAGGTATCAGGTCACCAAATGCTGTTGCTTTGTGCCTTGTTTCTACAAATTCAGATCTCAAAGTTCTAGACTCCTTGACAGAAGAGGGGCTGTTCATCTTCCATCTGGTTTGATCAAGCTTCAATGACTATAGCTCAAAGGACGATCGTAGCTTCAATGCTTGTGTTGTCTGCTAGGGAGTGAACAATTATGCCGGTGTGTCTGTATCACCCACTAGATATAGTCTTCTGCATACAGCATTGGAGATACAATTCTCGTGGAGATATTTGGTCTTCTGAATGTAAACCCTAAGTCCCATGTTCTGATATGCCTCAGTAAATACAGTATATTAACAATTGTCAGGAGATTCGTTACTGTACTGTAGTGTCATCATCTTACTGGCATTTGATTACTCAAGCTGGGATAGTTTGTATTTTGGACGTGAGTCTTTGGCTCCAACAGACAAGCTCTATGCTTCACTGCATCTAACTTGCCGAATTACATGACTGAAACCAGTTGCTAAAAGCAGGTCTTAGGGGCAACACAATAGTACAGTGGTTAGCATTTCTAACCTTTGCAGCACTGGGGCCCTGGGTTCAATTCCATACCTGGGGTGCTGATTGCGTGGAGTTTTTATTTTATGTTCTCCCCTTTTTCAAATGGGTTTTCACTAGAAACTCTGATTTCCTCTTACAGTTCAAGGACACACTGGTACTGTAGGTTAATTGGCTTCAGGGAATATTGACCCTGGTGTCTGTATCTGTGTGTGCCTTGCAATGGATTGACATCTAAACCAGTGTGTATTCAACCTTGAGCTCATCGCTTGCCTTGATGGGTTCCATCTCCCCATGACCCAGTTTAGGATAAAGTTGTTAGAACATGAATGGACTTTAAAGGGATCTGTAGTACATTCATTTGTGTGGAGCATGGAATTCATCTTGAATCCAGTGAAGGAAGGAGATCAATTTTGTCAAATGCCTTTGTCAAGTTAAAGAATGCTAGGCAGAAAAAAATGTATTATACATACAATGAATGACAAGGAAGGGATGTTAAAGTCAGATATACAGTGTGTTTTGAATTCAACTTCTCCTGCCCCCTTTTCTCCTGAGTTTTTTATCAATCCAATGAGGAGGCTTAGCAGCATATTGCTTCCCTGCCATTGATTAAGCATACTGTACATCACTTTGAAAGGCTGACTTTGTGCATGCTGAATGATGAGCCATCTTGAAGGCCTTCAGAGAGATGTCGCTGAACATTAGTTCATCAAGCATATACAGTATAATGTCTTGCAAAAGTATGCAGACCCTTGGCACCTCTGGCAAATGAACACACCTTTTTTGGTATCTACCAACATGGAATACTGGCTTGGTATTCTTGTCTTGGCAGATTTGCTCAATCTCTCAATTTGCTTCTGGATTACATATGGTCAAGTCTTTCCACAAATTGACAATAGGACTCAAGTTAGGACTTTGACAGGACAAATCAAGGACATTCACTTTGTTATTCACAAGCCACTCATGTGTTGCTTTGGTTATTGTCCCACTGAAAGATGACTTTTAGTGCCAGATTTAGTTTTCTAACTGTAGATGTGAAGTAGTTTGTCCTCCAAGATTTGCCTGTATTTTGCTCAATCCAGTCTTTCGTCTGTTTTGAGACTGCTAATAAGACGCAGCCCCATAACATGATGCCGCCCCACCACAACAGCAAAAATTTTGCTGACAGGGTGATGCACTGTGCTGTTTGCACTGGAAGTAATATTTTGCATTTAGATCAAAGTGTTCCAATTTTTTCTTGTGTGACCATAAAACAAATTATGGCACTTGTATGCAGTATCACTTAAATGCTTTGAAGAAAACTCCACGCGGGATTCGAAATGTTTGTAATGGCTTCTCTCTTGCCACTGTGCTATACAAGACAGCTTTGACTCAAAGCTGAGTGATGGTCCGTTTCTCCCATCTCAAATCAAGCCTTCATCACTCGCTTTCTCACAGACACTGTTGGCCTCACTGTGGCATCTCTTACTACTTATAGTATCTCCTTGCTTGGCTGCTAAAATATAAGCATAGCCAGATCCAGGCAGTGTCTGGGCAGTATGACACCCCTTCAGCTTCTTAATGATCACCTTCATCATGCATGAAGGGATATTCATTGACTTTCTTCTGATATGTGCCTTTATATAGCTTTTCTTTTACTCCCTGAATTGTTTTAAAAGTTCTTAAGTCTTCATGATTTAATCTTTGTTTTAAATTCATTATCTGAATGAAGGTCTTGCAAACATAAATATATTTATCCTGAAATCATGTGAATCACCATTATTGTAAACACACAGAGGCCACAAAATTAATTGCATTGCTCATTAAGGTAATATTGTTCACCTATATTAATTTAGGTTTGCCAAAGCAAAGGGTTTAAATACTTATGCATTCACAACCTTTCCCTTTCCTTACTTGTTGAATGTCTGTATACTTCTTTCATTTTATTTTTTTGCTTTAAATATATGCAGTAGTCTGTGCATGTAAAAAATATTTATTTCTTCAAAGTGTCACTATTGCAAGCTTTGAAACAACACAATATGAAAAGTGTGCAAGTATCTAAATACTTTTGCCATACACTGAAACTTAATCTCAGGTTATGACTGTTGTGAAGAGTACAATACCCCTTTGGAATGCTTGACCTTTTAAATCCTAAAATGAAACACAATCTTATTAAAAACATAACATAAATAGTACTTCTTCCACTCCCAGCAAACCTGAGTTAAGAGTTATTTACACTTCTCCACATAACCTTGTGTCACATTGCTCTCAGCATATCATCCTATATTTACTGCAGCCTTTAAGGTCTTATTACATAGGGGTGTAGAATTGACTTTGCTGATAAGTAGGTCAAGTTCTCTGCATATGTACAGCCCTAAAATAGTTTTTAGTGTTGTTTCTAATTGCGACTGATGAGCAGACTGTCTATTTAATCCTCTCTATCAGCACTACAGGACCTGTCTGGACAAGAATAGCCCTGATCTCAGCAGCCCCACATTCGGCCTTGAGTTTGTCTTTTTCTA